GCCTTGCAACAAATCGTCCAATGGCAGGCTGAATATTTCTGTTGGCGTGAGGCTACAGACCCCAGGTGAACAGGATTAAAAGAGGTTTTATACAGCTTTAGTGCTCACTGTGTGAACCCGAGGAGACCATTAACACACATGTACAGAGAATCCAAAAGTCATAAACACACACACACTCACAAAGATAAATACTCATATATTCCGATTCACATGGATCTTATTTACAGATGAAAATGTGACTTTATTCATTTGATTTATTCTAGTACTTACTATTAGGACACACTTAAGTGTTAAGACAATTCAACATCTTTAGAAGGACTGTGAGTTGTAGCAAGCTTTATTCTCATACAGTTCCTGTTCCAGTTTTTGCTCATTCCATCAGACTCTTCATCATCCTAATGATTCAGATTTGCTTTGTTTAGTGCATTAAATATGCATCATGGCTAAAACCAAGACTGACCCTAAGGCACATGTGATATAAGGTTTGAACCACTAGAGGGCAGCAGAGGGCAACGACTGTTTGCGCCAATAACCATAAATGAAGTGCTTAATCTACATAAATAATTTCCTTTTAGATGTGTGACATTTACAATATAGAATGTGCATTTTTTAAGTTTAACAAATCAAACTGCACTCTATGTATCCGAAAACAACACAGAATCACATGCTGTTCAACTAAGTTCCACAGAAAGTGAGGTACTAACCTGCCAGGAAAAGGGCGTTTGACGGACACGACAGCGAACACACCTCCCCTCCACCTGTCTTGATGCAGCTGATCTGAGCGCGAGGTGCTGGCTTCCCATTCGGGAGGCATTTTACCGCCTCTGAGGGACAAGCAAGGTATGGTTACCATGGAAACGGCAAACATTATGGGATATTTCATGACGAGGAACAAACGGAGGACTTACCAACACAGTCTTTCTTGTTCCAGTGGAGCTTTTGTCCAGGAGGACACACACACTCGTAACTGCCCAGTGTGTTCAAGCAGCCGTATTCACAGCTCCCGTTATTAATGCTGCACTCGTCAATATCTGTCACACACAGTCACATGTCAGTTCATCCATCAGAATGTGACTTTTGATATTTAAAAGAGTGAGAACCATTGGCTGGTTTCGAGATTTTGAACTCACCACCACAGTGTGTGAGGCCATAGAGACTGTAACCTTTGTGACACACACACTCAAAGCTTCCCGGGTAGTTGATGCAGATGTGGTCACATGCCCTCTCAAAGGAGCACTCGTCAATATCTGCAGAAGACAAAAACAAAGCACACAATATCATTAAAGCAATCACTTGTGTGTAATAATTTCCTGGCTTGTAGTAAAAATGGTGATTTCATCAGGATCCTTGGATACTCACCATCAGTATCCTA